TGGATATTTTAAGAACAATTACAGAAGAATAAAATAAAGCCCATTTCATTACCTTTTGAAACTTAAAAGTGTTCAATTTGAGCAGATGATTTTACCATCGCTGACAGAGCACACTTCCCCAGTACATTCAGCATCTGGCTCATATTCGCGATCTCAAGCATATTCTCAAAACTATCGTTTTCAATGACTTCATATTCAATATTTTGATCGCTGGCAGCTTATTCATCAAATGACAGTGACATTTATATTTAATTGCGTACAGTAATTGCTCTGCAGTAAAGCCATTCAAACCAGTTCAGTTTTTGCTGATGATATTCTTTGGTTTTATGCCTGCGGTAATTATGAGTGAAACATTGTGTATCAAACAGTGCCACCTCGAGGAATAAAGATGCATTGCACATATTGAGTCAAAAGATATGTAAATATAGTTGGGCAGGAAAAAATACTTACACATTTACATACCTCGGGACTGTAGCGACCCTATACACTTTATACAAAAAATTTATCAGAAAACAGGCATTCTTTTATATACAGTGGGTACGGAAAGTATTCAGACCCCCTTAAATTTTTCACTCTTTGTTATATTGCAGCCATTTGCTAAAATCATTTAAGTTAATTTTTTTTCCTCATTAATATGTAAATATAGTTGCGCTGGAAAAAATACTTACACATTTACATACCTAGGGCCTCTAGAGACCCTATACACTTTTTACAAAAAAATTATCCGAAAACTGGCATTCTTTTATATTTTACTTTTTTTTTCTTGTTATATTGTTTAGAATGAATAGATTGAGGAATACTAAGAAAGTGGATGTCTAACTTTAAAAAATGAAGGAGGGAGAGGGTAGTGAATGATGTCCCGGGTCGCAGGTATGCATTTAAGTTAATATATCTTTAAATGTTTCATCTGAGCGACAGGAAGCTCGTTTGACCTCTTGACCCGTGTCGTTGCTCAGCAACAGTTGGCAACACTGACTCCTAATAAATGAAAGAGCCGCAGGTTTGTTAACTTCACATGGATTTGAGTTAATCTTCAAAAACACCGTTGCCCTGCCAACTCAGAGAGCAGAACCACAGGAACGTTACCACTGGAAAACTTCTGCAAACGTAACAACAACACTGTGGTGATACGACGCTAATGATAGCCAGTATTAATATAGGATATTTTCATATAAATCACAGTACTGAATGATTACCATATTTATAGACCATACAATATACTGTAGTATTTACATGGTGCATGTTCAAAAATATAGCAATACATTGGTACTTTTTCATAAGTTAAAAGTCAACATTTTACAATCCACAATATAAAATTCTATTGGAAAGTCATCTGTATTATTAATATTATTTAATTAGATATTTTTAAATAATAAATGTTGTTAAATATTGATATTATTAAACTAATATTATTAATAATAAATATTAATATTATTATAATAATTACTATCAATGTAAAAAAATTCAACAAATGAAACTGACACTAAACATAAATGCATTGAAATACTGTGGATTTTATTAAAAGAAAAATCTTAATGCTTGAAAATTCACGAAAAATGAAATCAATACGACTACGAAAACAGCACTTAATCACACAATTCAAGGCTACAATGAACCGCATTCATTAAACAAGATGCAAATCATTTATAAATTGTTCGAGTAATTCTTACATAAACAGCCACAATTAATTAAATGTATTAGGCATTTTGCATTTTTTTACTGACCTATTGTACGCTGCAAAAAATTCTTAATATTATTAAATAATATGAGTAATATAATATAATATAATTCTTAAATAAGCTACATCTACTTGAGAAGCAAAATATATAGATCTTGATTAAAGATTTTGAATATAAGTGTATTTTATATAAGTTTCCTACATTTGATTTAAGTATTTCCTATTTAAGTTTATTTCCTATTTTCTAACAGCCATTTTTATACAGTGACGTGTAAAATGAAGGAAGTTTCTCTTTATCTCTCCATCATTATTCAGCAACGGTCTGACTCTCTCTATACAGATGACAGAAGATGAAATCCACAAAAATGAGGAGTTTTCTCTGGTAAACAAATGAATGCAACGCTGCCAATCGAGAGGCCGCAAAACATTCAGATGGAGCAGTTCGGCCATGTCTCATACGTTTAGCAGTTTGGTGTCTTCATATCTGCTTAAAGGTTTCCAACCCCCAAAGAGGAAAGTGTGAAGGTGCGCGTAAACTGCTGTCCGCAGCAGAATTGTCAGTACAGCATTAGTTACACACTGAGCTGCGCTTTATAACATCGCAAAACGTCATCAGATTAAACGTGGATCATGAATACAGTCGCCTGAGAGAGAGACCGATGGAAATTCATCCGTTTAAAGTCAACTACTATACAATACTAAAACAGAGACTCAGAAAGTTCATTCTTGTAGTGTCTGTGTACAACTCATGAAACCTCAAAAAGCATAAGTTCAGGGGCCAGTTGCATGAACTTAGCCTCTATAGGGCCTTTCGCGCCGCTTTAGTTCCAGAACTAAATGTACAGTACTAAAGTACCCAATCAATGTCTACTTACGTCACGATTAGTACCAGTTGTGCCGGTTAGACCCTGCTCCGGAGTAGGAGCTAATTTGGTTCTCGAAAAAGGCAGTCCGGTACTAAAATCGCACCCAGTTCCGGCGGTGCGAAAACGCCAAAAAGTGGGTAGTTCCACAATTAGTTCTGGTGCTATGAAAAGGTTCCCGCGGTGTGAAAGGCCCTAATGTTAAGAACCAGTTTGACCGACTAGCAATTAACCGAGGGGTAATCAGTCTTATATTTTGGATTCAGCTTACACTAATCTAGTTTTTACGTAACAGAATTTTAAAAATTTGACCAGTCTTAAAGAACAAAATTAGATGACTAACTTTTAAGACTAGCCTAAACCTTTTATGCAATCGGACCCAGGTCATATTACACCCCAAAAACAAAAGGAAGAAATAGGAAAATACATTTTCATTTAATTTTTTATTATTATTATAAAACATTAATTAATTTTATTACAAAATATATTATATAATACTATTTATTATATTTATTTATTTTCATTAATATTTATTTATTTATTTGTATTAATTTGTTTTGGCTGATTAAGAAAAACCTAAGTAAATAATACTTTAAAATGTAGTAAGCATGGCCTAATGAAACATATGGAAATTACAAGAAAAAAAATGACACATTATAGAGAATATGTGCTTGAATATGTGAGAAAATTATCACAAAAATGTCATTTAATTTTAAATTTGAAAATCATACAACTTTCTTCTATTGATTTCAAGGTGAAAGATTTTATGGACTTTCTGTGACATTCACTCATCTAATAATTTATAATATTTCCAAATGGATAAAGAAAAAAAGCTGTATATGATAATATGGCAACATAATCAATGTTATTATTAAAAAAATATGAATATTTAAAAAAAA